CACACACACACACACACACACACACACACACACACACACACACACACACACACACACACACACACACACACACATCTGTGATCTGGTTCTTGGAGCAAGCTGAAGGCCGCAACAGAATGGATAGTTAACATCCATATTCTGAACCATGCCTGCGCTGGTTTTGGGGACTCGATTCTTCGGGTTCATTTTTCAGATGTTCACACAAGTGCATACAACACTCATGGCTTCAGATACACGCCCTCCTAAACTCACTTACTCCTCTGGCTAATAAATGTGCTCTATGCAGAGGTTTTTTTTTTTAATTACCATAGTGTGTCTCATTGTTGATATAATATGATGCTTTTGTTTTTCCTCATCTTCCCTTGTGTGGTTTTTAGTTTTTCTGTTAAGGGTTGTGCCTCCTCATGATGTCTTCATGAAGATGATCCTTGCTCTGTGCAGGGTCAGTGGCTGCATGACCCAGAGTACCTGTTCTCCTATGTTTGTTATGTTCTGTCTTCTTCTGAATGGGTGTTCTGAACTGTAATTTCATTGTGCTCTGTACAATGACAATAAAGGTCTATCTTATCTTAAGTGAAAAAAAAACTAATGCATAATGATCAGTAGAAATCGGGGTGTGTTTGTGCTCATTTTAATGCCTGTGACAAAGCTCCTACAACCTTCAAATACCCACACAGCCTGCCTGTGTCTGGGTCAGCATTTCCACGGCAACCTATAGTAGTTCTCCCTCAGCAAACACTCCTTTTCTAAGCGTTGAGAGGAACACAAAGCTTTTGTAGCTTCATCACTGAAACCCCCCCCCACCCCCACAACGTCATACGCTTTCCTTTACAGTGGCTTCACGACACAATGTCTGTTGTTCTTTTTATTTGTCTTCCAAACACAATTTCCACTTTTACTTCAGAAGTGCTCTCGTTCTCCCACTAACATGTTCGTAATTTGCTATTTTTGATAAAAAATCTGATGGCAGCGTGAGAGTTTAGGAACTTAAAGCTCATGTTTTCTGACTCTGAAGCATAAAACAGAAGCGTACCTCCGTGCTGCTCTGATTACCCCTGAGAAAGAAACATGACAACCTACTATAGACATGTTTCCTGACATGTAGCAATAGATAAAACACAGTACAACACAATAAATCAATTACTTTATTCTTCCTTTTCATCTTACTTCTCCCCCCGCCAAAAAATAAAATAAGATAAAAAAAATCAATAAATAATCTTATGTGTTCTGCCTGAGACGACGAGCTGTCACTGCATGTGTACGGGTCATACCTTGGCCCAGCCTTTGGGAATTCTGTTGTTCTTGCTGTTGCTGCTGTCTTCTGGCCAACTTCTTCATCTGAAACGAAGGAGTCAAAGTTGTGAAGAACTCCCAAAACTAACATGCAGGCTTTTAATTTAAAAAGGATGCGCCTCGCTGTTCACCCTTGAGTGAACCGCACAAACTCTCTATGTGTGCGCACTTCATTGTCAAGTATCAAAGGATGCTTCACAAGATAATCATCGGAAAAGAGGAGGGCGTAGACATTTAATGCAAGATTGGGTTAGATTTGCAACTCCTTGCTCTGTTCTTTGCATTTGTGAAAGGAATGTAGTGATAAGTTTAACATAGAGACTTGGGCTGATTTATTGGCTGGACTCTGAAAATGGAACAAAGCTGTTTTTTTGTTATTTTTTCTTTTGAGGACACACATGTAAGGACACCTCACCTTAGCTCTCTGGTTCTGAAACCACACTTGGACCACTCGAACACTGAGTCCTGTCTCTGCAGCCAACGTTTCCCTCACCTAAAGACATAAAACAATCTTTTAGTATCACACAACAAACCAAACCAAAATTAAAAGCCTATAATTCTTAGATGAAATGAATATAGCACATTAAGATCAGTTTATGGTAAGAAAAGATACTGAAAATAACATTATATACAATCACAGGCAGTTTTGCGAGATCCTGCGTGGTTAATTAGAATAAGTCGAAGATGACTCTCAGCTACTACCACACAAATTTGGGTTCAACATCTCTGAAACTTACTGAGTTATGATTGTTTTTTTTGTGTTGGCAACCTTGCTTAGCAGTGGCACCCATCTTGAAAGTGTTMATTTCGATAATTTATTAGATATAGATGTTCATCTACTTTCTGATGGATTCATGAGTTATTGTGCTAACGCTACAGATAAACAAAAGCACACACAGCCACAAGCAAAACATTTTTGCATTTGATGGCAGGCAGTAAAACATTCACTGTACCTGACCGTACTTTGTATGCCACATTTTCCAGCAGTCACACTGTGTCTTTGATTTGCTTTCATTTAAATGTATGTCGGATCAGCACAGGGCTCTTTCTGGATGCTTTTTTTTTTTGGGGGTTATTGCCTTTTCAAAGCCTTGGCTACGCAGGCAGTTCTCCTATCTCAGTGTGACATTCACTGCAGACGGACTGCGTTACAGCAGCCCGCCTCAGTTAACACAGAACAGAATGCTGCTTGGCACTTCAAAGCTCTGCTCGGAGGTGGGGGAGATTTTTTTTAACTTTTTTTTTTAATTTGAGACTTTATTTGTCAAACTACTATAGGGTTTGTGGTCAGCATCTAAATCCCCCATTACTACAAAAAAAGAGTTAAAAAGAAAAACTCACATCCTCATTGTAGTAGTTGATTAAGTTTCATTTTACCTTTCTGCAGGGTTTTGAGGACACCTCAAAGGAGGCCTTAAAGGCCCGTCTCTGTTGAGTGGTCAGAATGGTTCGTGGTCTTTTGGGTCTCCTCGGGTCCTTCCCGTCGTCACCCTTCCCCTGACTTCCAATGCCTTTCTCTGGCTTGACGTCCAGCTCCTCGTCGTCACTTTTCTCTGCAGAAAGAGACATTTTGTGGCGTGATCAGATGTGACTTGAACTGATGACAGGATGCTGATGACTATATTTTTTCTGTGCTCATTGATATTCCCACCACACACAGATGCCTGATCCAGAAGTCTGCAGCTGCAGCTCTTGGGCCACATGTTTTTTTTTTTTTAATTTTTTTTTATTTATTTATTTATTTTTTTGCCTCTACAGAAACTTTCTGTAGCTTTGACCACAAATACATTGGAACTGAATATTTCTATTAGAAAAAGGTTCTTTTTGGCAGATTTGTTTTATCAATTTTGGAAATTTTTGAAAAAAACAAAACTTTGGTGACATAATGATACAACACAGTAATACACAATAAATAATTTATGCTAGTAGCTCTTAGCTGCATCATTGATCCAACTTCTATCCCTGCAGTGTGATTGTTTTCTAAAATCCAGCCACAAATTAAACCTTTTTAGCATATTTGATCAAATGACTGGGTGGGAAAAAGAATATGTGAAAATTTACACATGTATTACAAATGATCATATCACAAGTCATTAAGACAATTTACAAAAAAAAATTGCAAGTCCCTTTGATAACATCAAATATTCATAAGTTTGCTAACATGAAACAAATTAAAGTTAAGAAAGATTAAGTTTAGCATTTTTTCAGGAAAATTTAGCGTGTCAAAAACAAATTTCTGATTTTTAGTATAAACTTAATTATTTCAAAGTGTGGTGCTGACATTAATTAAACATTGAGATAGACAAGAATGCTATCTTTTACTTCAGAGCTTTATCCTTAGGGTGTAGCCAAAAAACTTTTCCCTTTGAAACAATAACTGTCAACATAATATTATAGATAATGAATTTCATATTGCAACAAACAACCACTTTTTGTACATAGTATTTATGTTACACCTTAATGTTTTGATATCTTTATTTAAAGCTTTGAGTTTGGTTTACAGCTTTAGACATGTTATAGTGGAAAAGGGTCAGACTGATTGTGAAGGTTGCAGACCCCTGGCCTAATCAAAGGAGACACATGTTTTTGATCCTTTGTTTTCAATTTATTACAGAAGGAAAAAGACTTTTTTATGATTAGACTTTTAAAATATGTGGAGAGCACACCAAAATATGTCTGTTTGTAGCTGAACTGGTCACACTGTCATTAGTAATTTATTGCTCTCAGCTTTGTCTCATTTAAACCAAATCAGTCTCTGATAAGAAGACTGGATCATAACCAAGATTGGGGGGGTGGCATTTTGTGCTCATGGTTTCGGTAACACAATGAGTTTTGTTTAAATTTAACCCCTGACAAAATGACAGTGTCTAAAACCGTAGTAAACAACAGGACTAAGGTTAATCACCAATCTAAGCTTACCTAAATTGTTGTTGCTATAAAAATTATAAAACTTTTTCAGGGAAAAGTCCTTTCAAAAAAAGAAAGAAACATGTTTTTTTTTTTGATAACAATTTTAAATACGTAGGTTAAACTTTGATGAAAAACCCTAAAAAGCCACACTGTCATTTGTCATAAAACCCACAAAGTTATAGAGGAAAACTAAATCATAAAGAAATATTAATTGCTACCTGAGATGTGGATGAAAAAGAGTTTCCAAACCTGAAACAGCCCTGCTGTGTAAAATGTAAAAAAGTTAATGATTTTGAGGTCTAGATGTTTTATACAATATATACTGTATATATATATCAGAGCTCGCTTATCATCTGGTTCTGATCCATGTCTACATTTCTGGGCTGTCAAACCTTTGCTCCGTCTCCGACAAGCCAAGGTTACCAACGACTCATGTTGACATTTTGCTACATCTTGAAATTTGGAGACGTGCAAAGACGTGGGTGAGTGATGCACTGACGATGCAAGCAAACAAGGGGGGTGGGGGTGGGGGGCAAAGCAAATATTCCCACAAGTTGACAAAAGTTGACACAGCCACAGATGTATTTGACAAATTCGCCGCTTTTGTGCGTGTCTAAATGTAAGCCAGATGGTAGTGAACAGTGAGGCTTGGCGAGATGCCTCGTCGTGTGCGCAGCCTATAGGCGGGGAGCGCTGGAGCTGATAAGAGTGGAGGCGCAGGCTTAGTGCAGAAAGGCCCCAAATCCCTCTGTCACTCATCGTGATACAGTAATTTAATTCTTTCCAGCACCAGATCCTGCCCACGCATGGAGAGCCATTAATACAGACTGGCTTGGCTTCGTCCTGTTTCCTCTTCCTACTGTAAACCTGCACTCCTTGCTTGAATGAACGGTGTTCAAAGACAGCCTATAAGCAGCAGGCGTTTTGTACATCTATGGATTCATTTAAAACTTCAGAGGTCTTCAAAAATAATTGCTTCTTTAAATAGTACTAAATCTAGTGTTTTTTTATTTTACAATCTTGATGTAGGGTATCTATGTTGACTGCCGCTGCAATGGAACAGAGCCGCCTGAATGCAACACCTCAGTGCCATGTGATGATAGCACCAGGGTGTCGTTCTCACTCCGGTGTGAGAGAGGGTCGCCGAGGTGCTCACCTGAGTCTGAGTCATCCGGACTGACGGAGCTGAGCAAGTCCTTCTCCCTCTCGTAGTCAATCTTGCAGAGCAGCTGACCCTCCTTCAGGACAAACTCGTCGCCCTTTCGGAGCTGCCGATCACACACGCAGCAGCAGAAGCAGTTCAGGTGGTAGACGCACTCCAGAGCTCGCATCACGAACTCCGTCGGGGCGATCTTCTCCATGCAGCCGCTGCATTTGGTGGCAAATAACCTGCAGATCCAGGAAAAAGAAGAGAGGAGGTTTTGTGAACAGTATTGCGGTTAAGAAGCAACAGAAATGCGAGAGTCACATGTCTATGAAGGTAAAACAGACATGTTTGGCATTTTGTTGGATTAGAAGCATTTACTTTCCCTCTCTACTTGTCTGTTATCACAGTTCAGTGGAGCTTTAGCTGCCCATCAAGGGGGTTTTTGAAGTTGGCTCGTTGACCCCTTTGGGCAGCGAAAGAAGTGACTCCTTTGGCAACAACTCATCTGTTAAAATTTCAGGGTGGGTCCAGCTCTGCACCAGTCCACCAGTCATCATAGGTACCCAAATCCTCTTACATGTCAGGGAGGGAAAAAAATACAAAGGAACTCCAAACTGGTTGGTGAATTACTCAGCTCCTTTATATCAGTGCACTCTATATGCATCAGAGAGCATGATTCATGGCTGGCTACTGTTCATATCTCAAATCTACGTCTAATATCACGCCTCTATACGGTACAATGCCACCTCTATCACCATCTCCCTGACAAACACCTCCATCTTCTTTTATGTCCTTTATTTTTGAGGGGGTGGGGGAAGATGTTTGCGTTGTTTTATTGGTGACCGAGAGGCATTTCATTTGTCCTCCGTCGTTCAGAATGAAGCCACATTAAACGGATCAAGAAGGCAGAGAGTGCGGTTGATCTTGTCCGGCCGTAAAGCTGGATTTATTAGCGGCTTCTGTGTTTGCCCTGGTCTGGAAGACAGCTGGCAGCCGCCTATCTGTTTGTGGTGAACATCTCTTTCTTTGTGAGGGAGACAGCGAGAGGAGCAGTTGACATCATCGGCAGGGATGAACGATAGCGATGAATATAATGTGTAAATATGAGAGCACGGGTAACCAAAGGATGGTTTTGTTATGCTAATGTTGTTATAGGTACTGATTGAGTCCTGATAATGTGTGTGTGTGTGTGTGTGTGTGTGTGTGTGTGTGTGTGTGTGTGTGTGTTCACACATGTGAGTGCATGTGTATGGACAGCTGTACGCGTGCTTTTTGTTCTCAACTCTGCAGCTTCCTGAAGTAATTGCTCATCAGATCAAAATCAGGAGAGCTTTATTTAATGTCATTTTAATTTTGGCACAATTAATAGGCTATGCCATAGTTTCTAAATATCCATCCACTGTGGTAGAAAATAACAAATTCTGTCTGCCAGCAGAAGACAAACAGAGCATCTTCTAATCTTTTTTTTATTATCATTATTCATACGGCAGCAGAACAACAAAGATGTCAAAGCTGGCACTTTCAGGGTTCAAAATATCCTTTAATCTTTTATTTATTACACTAAGTTAAGAAGATTATTGCTGCACTATGGAAAACCTCGAGGATAATCCCTTGAATAAGAAATGCTGGCATGTTTCTCCAACATGCAGAGTTCTTGTTGAAGTGACCCAAGATCCTGGATCTGTCTTCTAAACAAACCACCAAGTTTTGTCAATACTTCAACACATAAGCAATTCAGTAATATAAAAAAGAGCAGATAAGAGGGGGAAAAAATCTCAGTTTGATGAAATTTTTCAGGTAAGAAAGTGAAAATTTACCAACGCGTGTCTAGTTTTTAGAGGGATTAGAGTGTTGGGATAAGGGAGAACGAGGTGATGAATCTGTCAAGACAAGTTCCCAGATCAAACTCTAATGTTTAGCTAATGATCGGCAGCTTAGGCTCAGAAAGAGAGCGGAAAGATGAGGAAATGACTCGTTAGCACGGTTCGGATGTGTCTGAAGCCTCCGCATTCACCCAAGACTGCTCTCTCTCTCTCCCTCTCTCTCTCTCTCTCTCTCAAATCTTCTCATCTAGATGAAAACATTCTCATTCAGCCCTCTTTTCCTTTCTTCTTTCTTCTCGCCGGGTTTAATCTTGTAAGCCATTATTTTTCTATTTCCCCTCTCTGTCACTTTGCATTATTTTTGCTGCTGTAATTCCCATTCGTCCCTTCTGGAATCTTCCTGTCCTGCTTTGTCCCCGGGTCTAATCTGGACTTTCTGCCTGTTTTCAGTCCCCGCTCCCCATTCTCAGGGGGGCTCGGATGGAATAGCCACGCATGACGCCCCTTCTATGGCAACCACACCTCCACAGGAAGGCAACGCCGACTTTTCGGATGGGCAGAGAAGGCCTTTGAGATGCTGGCAGCAGAAGTAAATCCTTCTCTAAGGAACAAGGAGAATTAGCAGGGAGCAGTGGACTAGGGATTTAACCCTACCCCTCTCCTTTGAAAGGCACAGTCAGTCCCACTCCTGTGGCTAGCCACAATCAAACAGAGGAGGAGTGGGGAGGCGGCAGCGGGGAGAGGAGAACACAAACTCCCTGAATGACACAAGCAGTGGATTGTGGAGGAGCCTAATCCCACTTTAATACCTTTCCAAGTTCAGCTGCTAAAGAATGCTCTTTAAAACAACACCACTGTGTGAGCAGTGAAGGTTGACCGGGGTGAGGCACGCCATTCAACCTCCCCAACATTACCTGATTAGTGGTTTGTGGAGCAGGCCGCCGGGCCGACGCACCAACCGGAGACAGAATGGAAAGATGTAAAAAGTGATTTTATAAATAGAAAAACACACAAACAGGGGCCCGGCGATGCCGTTAGCTGAGGGTAGAAACGACACCAGAGAATCAGACGGAAAGTGAGTTAGCCGATCATTTATCAGTTTTGATCCCAGAAAACACCACGACTATCTCAAATCTACTTCCATGGGCTTGGGTAACACGACGCCCAGTGTTGCATCGGTAAGCAAGACAACACAAAGGGGGACCACCAGCATGACAGCTCTCATCCTGGCTCTTGGTTTTCCCTCCTCCCACACCTGAGCGCACAGATCAAGTGATGAGACCCCTCCTGCGTGGATCAATGGCTGCATCTCAAGCAGAGACCTGTCAATATTTACCCAGTCCTCCCCACAATGGGACTCATAAATGAGAGAGAAAAAAAGAAAGAGTCCATCTCAGCACATACCTCCATCCCAGAGGAATCGTTACGTCCCTCTTTTTTAATCTTACGTGCGCAACATATACCTGTAATCCCTTGTCTGCTCTTTCCTACATTGTCTGTATCCGTCTCTTGCTCTCCATGGCACATTATCACACTGTGGAGGCTTGTAATGCCGTGGAAAATGTACAGAAAGCAGCCAGGAACAAATAAACAACCCAAAAAGCTTTATGAAGAAAACAACAGTGTTTTTCTTACACTTTTTTATGTCTGATGAACTGGTTTTCAAAAAAGTGCAGCTGTGAGACATCAGCACTTCCTCCTCTTCCCTTTATTCTCCATTTGAACGGAATACATGCAGCTTAAAGTGTGACAACGTCTTAAACTCACACCACATGCTGCAGTGACTCATAACGGACTTATAAGAGCATATAATGCTTTTAAATCCCTCTTCTTCACATTTAAATCATTCAGTTTGGGGTTTAGATAAAGCGGAACTGCAATGTGTTGGTCTGAAATCTTCCTTACTGTAGCTCCACAAGCCCCTCTTTTACCCCTTTTCTGAGTTGTGTCTCACATCAACTCATTTTAATGCTGTCTCTTTAAATCCAAACAAGGCACTTCACGCCCCACCTTCACCCAGCATTCAGAGCAGTCCATTGTACCTTGATAGAGGACTTTACGACTATATAGCAGTTCAGAAACTTTGTATTTACAAATTAACTAAGATGTTGACAAGAGAAGACTTGTCCATCCAGTCTTACATGTTGGAGCCAGAGTCTGACCCAGAGCCAGAGGAGAAAGAAGATGACAAAATTGTAGTTGGTAAATCCAGACTGAAAGAACAAGATCATGCATACAAGCAGCCGAAATGATTTTCCTCTGCAGGGTGTCTGGGCTCTCCCTTAGAGATAGGGTGAGAAGCTCAGTCATCCAGGAGGGACTCAGGGTAGAGCCGCTGCTCCTCCACATCGAGAGGAGCCAGTTGAGGTGGCTCAGGCATCTGATGAGGATGCCTCCTGGACGCCTTCCTGGTGAGGTAGTTGGGAACATCCCACTGGGAGGAGACCTAGAGGAAGACCTTGAGACATGCTAGAGGGACTATGTTTCTAAGCTGGCCTGAGTCTGAACCAATGGGGGAAACAAACTCTGGTTCGTTCAAAGTAGACCAAATGTGTCTGGTGTGAATATACACTAAATTAAACTTTAATGCACTCCTGGAGACTCCAAGTACACAACAAAATTTATTTAACAGCAAAAAAGTGTATTTTGCATGATATGTCCCCTTTAACACTCCTGCTTCAGCATAAGGTATCAGGGGGACGGGGGGCAGTAAAAGGGACATGTAGAGGAAAGACAGGTAAATGATAAGAAAAAAGGGACAGAGGTGAGATTGTGAAAAATCACGCAACATTGAGCAACACATGCAACAATCTCCCCCCTCTCTCCTCTGCTTTATTTTTTTCTCTCTTCTGCTTTTGAACAACACTTTGAGAAATACCATAACAATTTAGGAGAAGAATAGGCAGGGCCATTATGTCACGGCAACCCTTCAAAGACGAGGATTATCCAAGCAGCAGCTGTAAGCTATTACTTTGAAGATGTGCTCTTGTGTTCAGGCAGGGAACCAGTGGCCGTGCCAATCATAAAGAGGTGAGCTGTGAGGCAGGTCATGAACAAACTAACAGAAAATAAGACAGAATTTTCACAAATGAATCTAGTAATCAGCGTTATTTTGGGCCCAATGCTTGTTCACGAGGTTTGAATGATGTGATCATTAAATTCTTCCACTGAGTCAGAGCGACATTCTCTTCAGCTTAAACAAACAATAAAAAATGTGCTTGCACATACTGGCACAAAAAGCATGAATGATGCAAACAGGAACCTGGTCTTGTTCAATGGTATAATATAGCAATTAACACCAGATCCTTTACTGCACCAAACAAAAATGATGTTTCTGGTGAAAATTGTAAGCTTTTTTATTTTTAGTTGTTCTTTTTATCCTGTGTCACCTCCTATGTATCAGTGGGAAATATAATGGC